GGTACACTTGACAGTGAGGCCACAATCCAGCTTGGTTTCATGTCCTGCAAATCCTGCGCTTGGTTCCTGTGTATGTATAAAGTCCTTGAGTTATTAAAATACCTGAATGTGCCAGGCACATGACCCATCCCCACTCCCCGAATAATAAATAAATGTAAAAAGTAAGTAAGATTTTAAAAACCAGATGTAGTAGCAAGCAGTTGTAATCCCAACACTTCTGTGAAGAAACAGAAGCAGACAGAGGAGAATCACCCTGAAGTTTATGGGTCAGCTAGCTTGTCGTTCCCAGTATAACAGCAGAAATGACAGATCTAGCTTTAACAAGGTAGAAACCTAGGCGGTGGTGGTGCACGCCTTTAATTCCAGCATTCCAGCACTCGGGAGGCAGAGCCAGGCGGATCTCTCTGAGTTTGAGGCCAGCCTGGGCTACAGAGTGAGATCCAGGACAGGCACCAAAACAACACAGAGAAACCCTGCTTGGAAACAACAACAACAACAAAACAAGGTAGAAAGAAAGAACTCCTGGAAGTTGTCCTCTGCCTCCACATGAAAGCAAGGCTTGTGAACATACATGGGCTTGCACACAATTTTTTAAAAAATACCTATGGGCAAGCCGAATGTGATGTCACACACTTTAATCTCAGCACTGGGAAGGCAGAGGCAGGCAGATTTCTATTAGTTTGAAGGCTGCCTGGTTCCAGGCATCCTAACACTAGTGAGATGTTTTCTCAAAAAATAAAATAAAATACCTATATAGAGACTATAACTGATAGGATATACAGAAAATTAGAGATATTTGTTACCTTTATGGAAAAGAACTGTTTGTCCAGGCAAGAAGATGATTTTATTGTATACTTTTATTTGGATTTTGGACATATAGCTATATTTAAGAATTAATATAGTGATCAAAAAGGCCTTCTGAACAACAAAAACCATGTGTGTTTACTGACAGCATCACTTTCTTTTTCATTTACTCATTCCTAAATCTAGACGAAAGTAGAGAAGTCTTCCTTACTATATTCTGTTGGTGAGAGTCAGAATATTTGTTTGATTTTAAAATTGTCCAGAGAATTATTTTGTTCTTAGAGAATACATTGGTAACATTGCCTTTACTAGTTGTTAGCTCTTTATCTTGAACTCTTCAATAGGTGAGGTGTGAGCAAGCTTTGTTAAGGTTCTCTGTAACTCTCCAATTACTCTCCAAGTAATTTCCAGTACAGATCTCTTTCTTGCATGCACAAAAAGTTCACGTACTTACCCAATAGTTGCCATAGAAGATAAAGTATTTTCTTTCATTATGGATGGAGCCAAATATAGAGAAGCATAAATGTGTATGATATAATACCAAATAGGATGAGTCCTGCAAAGAAAAGTAAAGCTGATCATGGCCAGGATCAGAACTCTTGGACATAGGTAGTCGAAGGAAGACTCTTCTCCAAGGAGACATTAAACCAAGAGTTGCATATATAGGACTGAGCTGGATAGAGAGTTGAAGAATGTTTCTACTTAAGAGAAAATCAATGTAAAAGAAGTTTGGCAGAGTAAGAGAACAGTGAAGATATGATTCTAGCTGGAAGCCTAGTGGGCTGGGAGGTCCAGGAGGTAGCCAGATGTATGTCTTTCACCTGGGTCTTTAAACCACACTAAAAGCTTTGTGAGCTAGGGTGTAGCTCAGTGGTACAGCACGTCCCCATTCACTGGGTTCTATCCTCAGCAAAATACTGCCCATCTCCCCCACCACCCCCAGAAAAAGAAAAAGACTTTGTATCGTATACTAAGTGTAGTGGTTAGTCATAGGAGCCATCTGATCAGGGTGACTCAGATTGTGCTGTAAAAGAATCACTGTGGCTTATTTGCCACCCACTGTTTCATAGAGCAGATGATAGAAATGAGTGTAAACAATGAGGGGGCTCCTTTAACACTGAGTCGATCAGCATACTGTGCTTATTAAATCTGTCTTGTTATTTTCTTGCAGATTCTGCTGAAGGAGAGTACAGTGCACTCTGTAGCTATCTATCTTTACCCACAAACTTATTCCTGCTTTTCCAGGAATATTGGGATACCATAAAGCCCTTACTGCAGAGGTACTTATGGGAGTGAATGTGACTGATGGCTTTCTATCTCGTTTGAAAATATTTTATACTTATTTTTGTTTTTGATTGGTTTTTTTGGGGGGAGGGTTGGGGTTTTTTTTGTTTCTGATTTTGTTTTTGTTTTTCAAGACAGGGTTTCTCTGTGTAGCTTTGCGCCTTTCCTGGAACTCACTTTGTAGACCAGGCTAGCCTCAAACTCACAGAGATCCGCCTGCCTCTGCCTCCTGAGTGCTGGGATTAAAGGCGTGGGCCACCACTGCCCAGCTTGATTGGTTTTTGAGATAGGGTTTTGCTGTGTTGACTTCAAACTCTGTTGTTCCTCAGATTTCTCCGGGGCTCAATTTGAAATGGTTATTTTTATGTTTTTGAGACAGCGTCTAATATAGCCCAGGTTGGTCTAAGACTTACTATGTAGCTGAGGATGGCCTTGCACTCCTGATTCTCTTGCATCTGTCTTCCAAATGCTGGAATTACAAATGGTGACCACAGTGCCTTTCTTTTAATTTGAAAAATTTACAATTATTTACTACACTTCTCAATTTATTAGCATTGACTACAGAGGTAGGAAAGTACAGAAATTCTTTTATTTATTTATTTATTTATTTATTTATTTATTTACTTTTATTCTGTGTGCATTGGTGTTTTGCCTGCATGTGAGTCTGTGTGAAGGTGTCAGACCTTGGAATTACAGACAGTTGTGAGCTGCCATGTGGGTGCTGGGAACTAAACCCAGGTCCTCTAGAAGAGCAGTCAGTGCTCTTAACCACTGAGCCATCTCTCCAGCCCCCGAAAGTACATAAATTCTTAATCCACATGCTTAAGGAGTAGGTTTAGGCCAGCCTCTGAGCAGGTGGGAGTCCTGCTTTCTCTTCCACGGCTACATTTTGTTTTCTGCACAGTTGGTGTTTCATTCCAATCTTAAAACATGGTAGGGAGTGTGATGTGCTAGTAGGTAGAATCCTAATTAAGAATCAAAAGATGCTGGGCATGGTGCACTTGGGAGGAAGAGGCAGGTGGATCTCTGTGAGTTTCTGGCCATCCAAGGCTACACAGTGTGCCCACCTCAAAAAATAAAAATAAAAAAATAAAAAAAATCAAGGAGCTCAAGGAGCTCAAACTTGAGCTTGTGGTATTGTGCAATTTGTAGAGATCTGGCCTAGCATACACAAAGTCCTCTGTTCAGCCCCAAGCACTGTATAAGCCAAGCATGGTGGCACAGCACACACCTATATTTCCAAAACTTTAGAGGTAGAGGCAAGAGAGTCAGAAGGTCATCTTTGATCATGTAGCAAGTTTGAATCCAGCTCTCAGTGCATGAGACTTTGACTAAAAGAAAAAGTCCACACTGGAACTATATAGAAACTGTAGAGAATGTGGTAGAGCGCATGCCAGAAGAATGGCATCTGTAGAGCAGAGACTAGCACTGAAATATCCACACCTCCCTTCAGAAAGACTCTCTGCTGCATCTGATCCTGGACCTCTTGTTTACTGTCATGCCCCAGCCCCCACTCTCCCCACCCTTTCTGCCTGCCCATGTTTAGAATCAGTTTCACCATGTGCTCTTAACTCACTCTCCCGTGATTTTCTTTATCCTCCTTACTTGTCTTTTTCTTCCTCGTGCCCAGGTCGGAACTGGGAGAGTGCTGGTCTCATGCCCTAGGTTCTCTGTGTCAGGTTTTGGCTTTGCTTCCTAATTTCTCATGGGCATTGTGATCTTCCATGCAATCAAAATGAATTGATTTTAGGATTAATGTCACTTTTTTTTTTTTTTTAGTACAATCACAAAAGATTTTACAAATTTTACTTTTCTATTCCTGGAAGTAAATTTTGGCTGTGCTATTTTACTTTAAATATTAAACATTCTTTGAAATAGAAAGCCCCTACCATTTGTGCTCTTCCTGACCCTGCTTGCCTCTGTCCGGCCTGCTCCGTAGAGCTCTGCAGGCTGCATCTCCCGGTGTTTGTCAGCTGGCCTCAACCAGTGCAGGTTAGCCAGTAGGAGGCACAGCAGGGGGTTGGAAAGAAGGAAGAAGAAGGAAGCCCTGCTACCTCTCTGCCCTTTGGGGCATCTTCAGTGGTGTCCTGATCTTCTGTGGCTCCAGTTGCCTGCAGAAAAGTCTGCTGTGATCCTATTACCCACTGATGACCCTGCCCAGGGCAGCAGTGATGCCCACTTTCCCCCACTCCTCCAGCATGGGGCAGCATTTAAGGTTTACTTGCCTTTTTGTCTCAGGGTTGCCTTCTTAGCCCTTACACCACTTAGCCTCCCAGCTCTTCTCCAGTCTGAGGACTGAATCTAGGACCTTGAACTAGGCAAGTACACCACACCAAGCTATAGGCTGAGTCCCTGTCATGTGTATTGCTACTTCCTAGTATTAAATTCTCTCATTTAAATTTGTAGGTGGTTTCTGTTCTAAAGACTTAATTGACAAAGCCCTTGAAAAGGAATTTAGAAGGGGGAATGAGGATGTGGGGGGAGAGAAAAAGGATATGATGTAAACTTAAAGACAGAGAGGGAACAGGAAAAGACAGAATTGGAGAGAACAGTTGCTGTAAATCTCGATGAGCCTGTGACAGTCTTGTGGATATCCTGTGGTGATCCCCCTTCACTCTTGGCTTCACTTACAGGTGGTGTGCAGATCCTGCCTTACTTAACTCTTTGAAGCAGAAAAGTGCTGTGGTCAGGTTGGTTTTACTATTTAAACCTTTTGCTACATCCTAGCTGCGTTTCTAAAGTGCTTGGTTGGTTTGCCTTAATTTCTGGTCTGTCCCTTCATTCTCAGTTCATTGTTCCAGTGTATCTGTTGGTCTTTGCCAGACATCAGGTTCTTCCTGAACTGGTTTTTCTTGGAATGGCTGTCCTTCCCTTCCTAAATTGTCAGAAGCCACAGCTCTCCTGGAGGACTCTTCCTTACACTGGTACTTGCCTGTCAGAAGGCAAAGGCGCTGGTGTGGGAGCTGCCAGTGCACTAGAGACGGTGGTTTACACTGCTGCCGTAAACTAGGCCTCCCTTGAGGATGAAGACATACTAGAGCTGACCAGTCTTCTCCCCACTTGTAACTAGACCCTCCTTTGAGGTCAAAGATAGACTAGAGCTGACCAGTCTTCTCCCCACTTGTAACTAGCCCCCACAAATGCCTCAAAAAAGAGAAGCTTGTTTTGTTTTTTGTTCTTTTTTTCCAGACAGGGTTTCTCTATGTAGCCCTGGCTGTCCTGGAACTCACTCTGTAGACCAGACTGCCCTTGAACTCACAGAGATACTTCTGCTTCTGCCTCCTGAGTGCTGGGATCAAAGGTGTGTGACACCACTGTCTGTAGAGAAACATAATATATATATATATATATATATATATATATATACACACATATATACACTTGGCAGGTGCATCTCTGTTGAGTCGAGGCTAGCCTGGACTACAGAGTGAATTCCAGGAAAGATGCAAAGCTACATAGAAACTCTGTCTCAGAAAAACAAAACAGTGTGTGTGTGTGTGTGTGTGTGTGTGTGTACATATACTTTATTACTGTATTCTATGTTTTGTCTGTATGTATGCCTGTTCATCAAGTGCATACCTGGTGCTCGTGGATGCCAGAAGAGGGTGTTTTATCTCCTGAAATTAGAGTTAGAGATGGTTACAAACCATTATATAGGTCCTGGAAATTGAACCCAGATCCTCTGGAAGAACAGCCATTCTCTTAACCTCTGAGCCATCTCTCCAGCCTGAGAAACTCCATTTATATATTTGTTTGTTTGTTTGTTTGTTTGTTTGTTTAATGAGACAGGGTTTCTCTGCGAAATAGTCCTGGCTGTCTTGGAACTCACTCTGTAGACCAAGCCGGCCTTGAACTCACAGAGATCCACCTGCCTCTGCCTCTGCCTCCTGAGTGCTGGGATTAAAGGCGTCTGCAACCAACACCTGGCTTCAAGAAATTTCTTTAAACTACACATGATAGCACATACCTATGATACAGTACTCAAGAGGCTGAGGTGGAGGGTTATGAGTTGCAGGACAGACTGGGCTGCGTAATGAGATGATACTGTCTGAAAATGGACAAGAAGCTTCGTCAGCCCTCTTCTCTTTTGAGTTGTGATTCTATCTAAATCTGCATTTCCCTCAGAGGCAGGTCCATCTACCTCTGCCTCCTGAGTGCTGGGATTAAAGACGTGCACCACCACTGCCAGGCCAGTTTTTTCTTTATTTCATGTCATGATGTGCTTTTTAAATATATTTTTATAGCAGGGTACTGAAATATTCTGAGAAACTTAAGAGATAATCCATATATACTGGTCTTTGGTTATGAGTAACTCTCAATCTAGTTATATACATAAAAGACAAAACAGTATAGCATAAGATATGATATATAGAATATATCATTAATTCCTTAAAGAGGAGACTGGGCATGATGATGATGACTTGTGCCTGTAATCCTAACCCTTGGGAGGCAGAGACAGGATTGTCATTTATTTGAGGCGAGCCTGGGCTACATATTGAGTTTGAGACCAACCTGAGCTACAGAATGGGACCCCATCTTTAGAAAACTAAAAGGAAAAGATTGTTTTTGAGACTATGTCTTACTGTGTAACCCAGCTAGCCTAGAACTGTCATGGAGCACATGGCCCAAGTTGGCCACAAACTGAAAATCCTCTTGCGTCAGTCTCCTGTTACACGCATGTGCCACCGTGCCTGAGGAGAAGATTCCTCAGTCTTAGAGAAAGATTTTTTTTTAGTTTAGTCAATAATTATAAAATGAGGGGCTGGGTTAGTGATGCACGCCTTTAATACCAGCATTCCAGGAGGCAGAGGCAGGTGGATCTCTGAGTTCAAGGCCAGCATGGACTACAGAGCGAGTTCCAGGACAGGCTCCAAAGCTACACAGAAAAACCTTATCTCAAAAAACTGAGAGGGTGGGGGAGGGAGAGAGAATATGAGGGATGACTCAGAAGTTAAGAATACCAGCTGCTGTTCTAGAAGACCTGAGTTAGATTCCCAGCACCTTCATGACAGCTCACAACCATCTATAACTCTAGTTCCAGGAGATCTGATGCTCTCTTCTGACCAAGTTGGGCAGCAGGCATGCACATGGTGTACAGACATAGATGTAGGCAAAGCACCCATATACATAAAAAAAAATGTTTTAAGGGCAGTGGTGGTGCATGCCTTTAATCCCAGCCCTCAGGAGGCAGAGGCAGGCGGATCTCTGTGAGTTTGAGGCCAGCCTGGGCTACAGAGCAGTTTCCAGGAGAGGCTCCAAAGCTACACAGAGAAACCCTGTCTTGAAAAACCAAAAAAAAAAAAAGTTTTAAAAATATTTTTAAAATATTATAAAATGTAAATTGATTGGCGTCTAGGGAAAGAGTCCCATGTTATTCAGATGACCCTCCTTAGGCTACATAAGTCTTTTGCCATCTCTAACATAAAGGGAAGGAGTGCTAACATTTGCCACAATATATCAAGTGCTAAGCATATCTTGTTTAACTTCAGTATCTCATTTAGTCTCCAAGAATTTTGGGAGTTTCCTACACACACACACACACACACACACACACACACACACACACACACACACACACACACACAATTACCTTGTAGATCTGGCTGGCCTTGAACTCAGAGACCTGCCTGTCTTTGCCTCCTGAGTGCTTGGGTTAAAGTTGTACACCACTATGCCCAGCTCCCTGATACTTATATTTAACATCTCTTAAAACTGTTTGAGTCTTAACAGAGTTCATTTAATGTTCCTATTCTTTATTTTTCCTTTATGTTCCCATGGTTGGAATGTATTCAACTCTAGTTTTTAGATAAGGAAATACACATTTATATTTGCCCAGAAGCATTCTTCAGCTTTAATCTGTTCACTCAAATATATAACTGCCTTTTAAACTATGCTTCTAGGTACCCTAGAAAAAGAAATAGTTTGATAGAGCTTCCTGATGACTACAGCTGTCTTCTAAATCAAGCTTCTCATTTTAGGTAAGAAAAATAGATGGGGTGGTGTGCAAGAACAAGAGATCGCAGTATCTTTTTCTGAGCTTTCATTAGGTCTACCCTATAACCTGTGAACTTAACTTGTACCCAATAAGGGGCTAGTGAGATGGTTCAGCTGGTAAGGGTGCATGCCACCAAGACTGTTGACTGTTTGGTCTCTGGGACACACATGGAGTGGGGGAGAACAGTCTCCTTCAAGTTGTCTTCTGAGCTCCAAGCATATGCACATGTGTTTCTGGTGCAGCTTACTTGTTTAAGAAGTGACTGTTGTATTCCCACAATTTATCATTCACAGTGTTGCACAACTATTGCACGCTGTACTACTTACTACCTCTCTAGTGCCAAACTTTTCGCCACTCCAAAGGATTTGTAACCTTTACATGCCCCTGGTCTTCCGTTTCCTCATCACTGATAATCTGCTTTCTGTCTCTAGGAATTTAGCTGTGGATACATCACTTAGAAAAAGAATCTATGTTTTCTTTCATTCAGTATGTTTTTGTCTTCTTCCATTAATGGATACTCGTTTATGATGGAGTTGTGTCTTCCTTTTAAGTATTATGAATAATGTTACTATAAACATTCATGTACAAGTCTGAATGAACATACATTTTTCATTTCATTTGTGTATTTAGCTAGGTCATGTTTTACTTTTTCAGTATCAAACCCTTTTATATACATTATGTCATCTTACAATCTCACCAGCAATGTATGGGCCATATTATTTCTTCACATCCTCACCAGCCCCTCAGTAAACTGCCAGATAAATCTGTACATAAAATCCCAGGTTTTAGATGATAGATCCCTATTGTCTCTCCTGGCACAAGTAAGTCACCCCAGAAATAGGAGCTACATCCCCAAATCTTCCTGTGATGAGTTAGGGAATAAGGAGTATAATGATACTAAAAAGAATGCCCACATTTAGCTGAGTGTGGTGATGCACACCTTTAATCCCAGCACTCAGTTGGAGGCAAGCAGATCATTCTGAGTTTGAATCCAGCCTGGGCTATAGACTCTCATTTCAACCTTGAAGAAATGTCATAGAGATTGTGGTTGAACCCTTACCACATAATGCAGTTTTTCAAACATTGCACACTTCCGAAGTCATATTACCCCAACATTGTAAACACATGTGACTAAACCATTGAAGCAGCAATAGCATCTGTTACTTGGTTACATCAGATGAAGGCTGGATTCTATAAATGAACCTCAGTATAAATATGAGACTTTTAGCAACTTTCCACAGGACTATATATTTAATAGTGGATTTTCTTGCTATATTTTTTTGTTTGTTTTTTGGGGCTGGTGCTTAAACCCAAGGCCTTACACATACTAAACATACACTCTGTTATTAAGCTGTATCCACGATCAATCAACAGCTTTTTTAAATTTTGCATCTTTTTTTTTAATCTTTTTTTCGGAGCTGAGGACTGAACCCAGGGGGTCTATCACTTGGTCCAGGAGGCCCTACAGGTTGAACTTCTAGAACAAAATTCCTGGGAAGCTTGTGGCATAGGCAGGCCTGGTTGGGGAGCTGTGCCGACTGGTCACCTGGCACAGGAGTCCCTGGTGGCATAGGCCTGCTCTAAGTGGGGTTAAATCAAGGTTTTTTAAAGAGTTATTGTTTATGTGTATGTGTGTTTATGCCTCATGTATGCAAATGTCCATGGAGGCCAGAAGAGGTCATCAGATCCTGTGGAGTTGTCATCACAGGCAGTTGTGAGGTTAGAATGAACTCAGGTTCTCTGGAGCCGTTTCCCCAGCCCCTTAAGTTCCCTATAAGTAATATAAATGAGCAGTCATCTAATTAAATATCCTTTGTCTTTTAGTAGCTTTCTTTGCTGAGTAGGATAAGTGATGGAAACATGCTTTACTGCTAAGTAGATATACGATCTGATTCTTGCTTTTCCAACACACTGAATGTGTCCTTCCCTTTGGAGGTGTCCTCGGTCTGCAGATGATGAGCGAAAGCATCCTGTCCTCTGTCTTTTCTGTGGGGCCATCCTATGTTCTCAGAACATTTGTTGCCAAGAAATAGTGAATGGGGAAGAGGTTGGAGCTTGCGTTTTTCATGCACTTCATTGTGGTGCCGGAGTCTGCATTTTCCTGAAGTGAGTATGGAGTCATTTGGAAACTTGCTAAGGATCTTAGTTGAAAATATGCATCCAGTCAATATGCCAGTAGAATAAGTAGTTCTTTAAAAAATAAGATTCTGTTTACTTTTCTTTCATTATTAGAACAATCTTAAATGGTATAGATTTTATATCAATGGTTCCAGTACTGTGTAATATTCAGATATAATGGAAAACTCGAAGCCTTAAACCTTACACTTATAAAATATGTGTAAATTATTAACTTTAGGCTCTCTTATTTATATATCTATTTTGGATTTTCGGGACAGGGTTACTCTGTGTAACTCTGGCTATTCTGGAGCTCGCTTTGTAGACCAGGCTGGCCTCGAACTCCTGTAGATCTGCCTGCCTTTTTCTCCCAAGTGCTGGCACTACAGGCATGCACATCTGGCTATTTATTTATTTTTGAGACAGGTTCTCGATATATAGACTAGGCTGGCCTTGAACTCCCAGAGATCCTGCCTCCCAAGTGCCTCCTGGCACAAGATTGTCTTTTGGATGTTTCTGTTTTCTTCTTTGAACAAAAGATTCAGAGTAGAACAATAGTGATAAATGTTTATGAAACATATTGCCTGAAGAAATGAATTCAAAGTTGATTTCTGTGCTTTTTCTTTCCATTCTCTGGGTAAAATTCAGTTTTGTTTATATAAGCCCGAAAGTCTTTCTAACTGAGATATATTATCATTGTTTAAAGGCAACCTTTGAAACAGAGAAAAGAGTGGCATGGAAGGCCAACTCAACACCTACTTGCTTCTGTAGAACCCACAGGAATAAGTCCACCTAGCCCAACTGTGCATTTCACACTCTGTTTATTTTATAATTTCTCATTGTAGTACTTAAGCATTTCTCTACAGTAAGCTTCTCTCTCTCTCTCTCTCTCTCTCTCTCTCTCTCTCTCTCTCTCTCTCTCTCTCTCTCTGTTGGTTTGCTTTGTTTTGTTTTTCGAGACAGGGTTTCTCTGTGTTCTTTGATGCCTGTCCTGGTCTTGCTCTGTAGACCAGGCTGGCCTCGAACTCACAGAGATCCGCCTGGCTCTGCCTCCCGAGTGCTGGGATTAAAAGCGTGTGCCACTATCGCCCTGCAGTAAGCTTTTCCAATGCCCTCAAAGTACTATTAAAGTCTGTCTTAAACCAGAAAAGCTTGTAACACTTCCCTGGTTGACAGGAGTATACTGGAAGATGCTCTGTCCTTCTTTGAGGCAAAAACAGCCTCAGCCACAGTTCTCCAGGGCCCTGTGGCTCACATAGGACAGCCTCCTTTTTCAATAGATCCAGCCAGAATTACTGATTTCCCATTGCTCTAGATCCATGGGTCCTTTCCTATTGCCTCAAGAAAAGCAGTAGTGTTTGTTCCCTTTACTTAGACCAACACAGTTTAGTGGTGGTACACACCTTTAATCCCAGCACTTGGGAGACAGAGGCAGGCAGATCTCTGAGTTCAAGGTCAGCCTGGTCTACAGAGTGAGATCCGGGACAGCCAGGGCAATACAGAGAAACCTTGTCACAAAAAAACAAAACCCCACAGTTTAGTGTGTTCATCCATGGCTCTATTGCCTTTTTATTGAATTTTTAATAGACATTGGCCATGTCTTTTTTTGTTTGGTTGGTTTTGTTTTGTTTTTTCAAGACAGAGTTTCTCTGTGTAGTTTTGGAGCCTGTCCTGGAACTCACTGTGTAGACCAGGCTGGCCTCGAACTCACAGAGATCCGCATGCCTCTGCCTCCCAAGTACTGGGATTAAAGGCATGCGCCACCACCTCCCGGCTCCATGTCTTTTATTTAGCTTAACTTTGATTCACTGTCTATCGTCTGCACATATGTCTCTAACAGCGTTTCCTGCCCTTTGTTTTTTTCTTCAGAATCCGAGAATGCAGAGTGGTCCTGGTGGAAGGAAAAGCCAGAGGCTGTGCTTACCCAGCCCCTTACTTAGATGAGTATGGAGAAACAGACCCTGGGCTAAAGTAAGATTTTCTTTAATGGAAGATTTTAATCAGATGTCTTATGTTTTATTCACTTTATTGTATGTGTGTAGTAATAGTTCTTTAAACATAAAAACCTGGAACTGGAGTTACTGATGATTGTGAGCTGCCATGTGGGTTCTGGGAACTGAGCCTAGGACCTCTGCAACAGCAGTGAATACTCTTCTTAGCCACTGAGCCAGCTCTCCAACTCCTGACTGGCCCTGTTGTTTAAGACAGACTCACTGATTATAGGAGGCTGACTGGCTGATCAGTACCAGGGACCCGCCTTGCTTTGCCTCCTCAGTGCTGGCATTATGGTCACACATTATCACACTTAGCTTTTTATGTGGGTGCTGGGCCTTGAACTCAGGTCCTCATGCTTGGACAGCATTATATAATCAATATATAATCATTCAAAATGAATAGACTCACTGCATAGGGCTTGGGATCTCTTGGGTCATATAGAGATTTTTTTTTTTATTGAAACAGCATTTGACCAGTCCTTAAGTTTAAGGGAGAAGCTACTGAGTGGTAAAAGTCAAAAGTTAATGTTGGTCAGGGTGGAGGTCGCCTTTAATCCTAATACACCAGAGGCAAGGGTAGGTGGATTCTGTGAATTTAAGGTTAATTGGATCTGAATAGTGAGTTCCAGGCCAGCCAGCGCTACAAAGTGAGAGCCTATCTCAAAAAGCAAAACCAATAGCAACAAAATAGTAAATAATCGAGGATATCCTTGAGATGTTCTAGAAAAGTAGAAAAATGTAGAATTTTTAAAATAATGACAAACTGAAAATTGACAAGGAACTAGGTGTTAATTATATATTATTATATATAGCCTCCTATAATCAGTGAGTCTGTCTTAAACAACAGGGCCAATCAGGAGTTGGAGAGCTGGCTCAGTGGTTAAGAGTATTCACTTATTAGTTAGAACTTGATGTTCTAGGGGCTGAGATGCCTGTTACCTCCATCACAGCTCTCAGCAGACTTCATGCTTTTGGATTAGCTGGCACAGTGTTGCAAACTGTAATCCTAAAATAGAAATGTAGTAACTTAAATATTTGTAAGCCAGGTATAATGATGCACACCTATATATAGTCCCAGCTACTTGGGAGGATGAAGCTGGAAGTTCAAACCCAGCCTGGACACTGTAACAAGACACCTCTTCCCCAAGTAAAAAAAGAAGCAAAGAAGAAAATGTTTGCTAAGCATTGGCAAGATGAATCATAGGGATGGTTATAAAACAAAAGATTTCTGAGCAGTTTTTTTTAATTTAATGGTTTTGTGTTATGCCTTGTACTAAGCTCCTATGCAAAACCATAAATTGAAGCTCGGTAAATTCCAAGGACAGAGAGCCATTAGAGCCCCGTTCCGGCTAACCACCAGACGAGCCCAGAGACACCAGATAGACACGTGTGTAAATGAGGGCTCATTGTGTTCGTTATGTCCACCTGTGACCTAATTTCCCAAATAGTCACGGAGTGCATTTCTGCCTCCTTAACTAAGTCATGTGCCAAGTTCTTAGCATCAGTGGTGAAGAGTGCCGTGTTACTAAACTTGTCCTGGCACTACAGCTGCAGGAATATCTTGGGAGTGTATTCTGACTTAAGACTATAGAGATATCACTGTTATTTGATTCAAGCTTAGATGTCGCTGTTTCTCTCTTGAAGGAGGGGAAACCCACTTCATTTATCTCGGGAGCGATATCGGAAGCTGCATTTGGTCTGGCAGCAGCACTGCATTATTGAAGAGATTGCTCGGAGCCAGGAGACTAATCAGATGCTGTTTGGATTCAACTGGCAGTTACTGTGAACTCCAAGTCTGCCTCAAGACAATCATGAGTGACATCAATAATAAAGACTGATTTAAAATTCCAGAGGACTTTCTGAGAATGGGGAAGTATTGGAGGGTCTTTTGATCCATGTCTAGATTCACATACATTAATAAAATATTCCTTAATGGAATATTGCTTTCAATTAGCAAACATAAGCTTCAAGGAAAAAACAGGACATAGATTAATCTGTTTTGTTTCCAGAACACTAAAGAAATGCTTGTTCACCCAAGTGTCTATTTCTGCTAATATTTCCAGAAAACTCATTCCCTCTCATAACTGTCCATTTCATTTCTCATCATCCACCTGGTAAATGAAGCCACATCAAGCACTTGTGGACATTCTTACGTCTGGTTAACTTCCCTGCATTTTCGTATTTGGCGTTTTCCTGAGTGTAATTCAGCTTGCATTAGATCTCTGACAAGATGCTGATCACCTGTGATGGTCTAAAGAGGAACTGCAGATCTATGCAGTATCTTTCAACTGAAAAATGTTTTAAAGTGTAAACAATTTTCTTATTTAAGGAAATATCCTTCCTGTACCACCTATGGCTTCCACCAGAAACAGATCTAAGTCTGTCTATGGGCCGAGTGTGAGCTGTTCGAGTCTGGAAAGCGTCCTTCCAGTGTAGACCTCAAGAAGAATTCGGAGACTGTGCTCCTTATGCATTCCTTTTACAAAAGTCTGTTACCGTCCCCTGACTCCAGGTACCTTTGTGGAGCCACAAGTCACCCGTGCCATTTTGAAAGGCAGGTTTCTGCAGTGAGATCTCTTGTCTCTTGTGACCCCATCCTATTTGATTCTCAGAAAACATTTGCTATTCTGAAGCAAACTCTTTGTAGAATGAGAATCAGAAAATTGCTCCAGTGAGTGGTCAGTTAAGCTGAATTTAGAACAGTCATATTTAAGCCAGTTCTGCAGCCTTCTATGGCTTCTAAGAGACAGAGCCTAGATTTGATGTCTTTGTGAAACCTTTTCATAAACTACAGTTTATGACTGATATAAACAGCCAAAAAACAAGAAAACAGGCCTTGTGATTAGGTCTGTGTCCTGTTATCACCTGCTGTGGTTGAGCCATCTTGCTTATAAATAATACAGTTCTCTTGAGTCTGTCCATAGACTTCTTGGTTCTTGGTTTTAACCTTTTATATCAAGAACTTGTGAATTAACTGCAGAGAGAAGATCAGTTGATACTTCTTTTAGCTTCTGTGGTATTGGGTAATGTTAGCAGTTGAAGGTGTGTTGAGAGATTGTGTCTTCTTTTGCCCTTGGCTGCCACTGCCATGTGTGTGTGCAAGTGTATCTCTACCATCTCTGTTCAGTGGAGGCAGGAAAGGAAAAGACAGTTCTGCTGGGTGATCAGTGAGGCACATTTGGGGCTAGATTTGTTGCCATTATGGGAAAGTGGATTTTGCAGTAAGGGATTGGTGTGAGCAGGCACCAGAATCACAATCACGATTTCCTACTTGGATAATTACTATTCAGAAGAAATCAGGAACTAGATGCAACTATAATGAACAGTTCACAGCAATTATGAGAGATGAAGATCAGAAAATTCAGTATTTGGCTTGTGCAATTTGCCAATATGATTAAGTGATTTGAATATTGCCCCTTTGTTTTTTTATATAATTTTTTGAAGGGATTGTTTAGCTCTGAAATCTGGGCTAGAACAGGCAACAGAAGATGCTCATTTCTGCCTTCATTTTCTGGCCCCCATTTGGCAAGGATAAAGACTTTATATTTAGCCTTCTTAGATTCCATTTGTGAACCTGGAGCTAAGCTCTGGAGTTGCAGGAGGACTAGCTGGCACTGGCCAGCCAGCCTTAGCGCCAAAGAACCTGATTCATCACTGAGTTCTGCTTGCTGAGAGCGAAGTTTCTGCACTGGAGGTGAACGTACGTCACAGTGCTGCCCAGCCCAAGGGATTTCTAATGATATTACCATGACAAATGATTTAAGTCTGCGTACGAAGTTTACTTACGCAACCAAGTCACTTTATTTAGTGTAGTATGTGAAAGAATTGGTTCAGTAGGATGGCTCCGGCTCTGTGTGTTTCTACTGGTGAGGAGCTGGCAAGGATTTTAATGATACAGTAAAGAAAAACATATGTCTGTATAATTAATTTATTATGTTAGTGTATGGGCTGTGAGTTCACCTTTTAGTGGTCATTTGTCATTTCATAACAACTATGCATTTTGGTTCACTGTGATGATGATCTATATTTAGTGACTGCAACATGTTTATACCACTGATTCAAATTCCATTCATGATGAAGTTATACAAATGATGCATATATTGATATCTTTTATTGCAAAAATGTAAATTAAAAACTTGTATAATGTTCTTGTGCTTTTTGAAATAAAATATCTTATATGTGTATATTTAAAAAGAAAAAAAGGGACTTCTCATGTTTGGGGATTTGGGTTTGAAGTATAAAAATCTTACCTAGAAAGGAGCTCTAGTTAAAAGTATGTCAGCCCAGCATGTTTGTTTTAGGAAGAGTCAAGCTAGACTCAAACTCATGATGTAGCTGAGGCTGGCCTTGAACTCCTGATCCTTCTGCCTCCACCTCCCAAGTACTGGAATTATAGGCATATGCCACCATATCCAGATTGATATTTTTCAAGACACAGATTTTTAGGGTTAATGGATCTTCAGACTTTTTTTTTTAACTGTACATTCCATCACCACATATAGATTTATACATAACTTTTGTTTTGTTTTGTTTTGTTTTGTTTTGTTTTGTTTTGTTTTTGAGACCGGGTTTCTCTGAGTAGCCCTGGCTGTCCTGGAACTTGCTCTGCAGACCAGGCTAACCTCGAACTCACAGAGATCCACCTGCCTCTGCTTCCCAAGTGTCACCACTGCCTGGCCATAATAATTTCATGTAGTGTTCCTTGCATATGTTAAGCACATTTTATGACATAGCACAAAAGCAAAAGTCATCGGGTTTAAATTCAGTCAAGTTTACCCCATTATCATAGTCAAACTCTCCAAGGCATAAAATTAAAGATTCTCAAAGCTGCAGAAAAGAAATAAGCATAAGAGTGTCTCAGTTTACCTAGTGATGGTAAACATCTCAGTAGAAATCTTGCAAGCAAGGAGAAAGTGGCAGAAGATGTACACAGTGCTGACAGCCAAGAATCCTATACCTAGTAAAGCTACCCTTCAGGGTTGAGAGAGAAAAAGACATTTCCAAATAAAAGCTAAGAGAATGTATCTCTACCAGAGTTGTCCTACAAGAAATGCGAAAGGGGACTCACGGGACAGAAAAACTTTGGGGATGAGAGTGTAGCTCAGGTAAACAACTGGCTTGGTACGTGCAAGACCCAAGTTATTAACTTACCGGGAAGAGTGACTGTACAAATAAATTCAGAATGTTCTAGTCGTATAAAACATAGTATAAAGATTTTAAATCTACAAGCCAAGGACAGTGGGTGGTTCGTGGCAGTCCCAGCTACTTAGGAGGATTGCTTGAGCCTAGTACTTAGGCAGGAGGGTTGCTTGAATCTAGAAGTCTGGGGACCAGCCTGAGCAACATAGCCATATTTCTGAAAAGAATAACATTAATGTATTAAGAGACAGTGTCTTACTTTTCTATTGCTGATAAAATGCACCGACAAAAGCAACTTGGAAATGGTTTATTTTTGCTCACAGTTAAGGGAAACAGGAGCTTAAATAGTTGCTCACATTGTATCTTCAGGAAACATGGAGCAACCAATTCTTGTGCTCAGCTTTGTTGTTTTTTATACAGGCTAGTATCTCAGCCCTAGGTAATGGTGCCGCCCACAGTGGGTAGGTTTTCCTATGTCACTTAAGCTAATCAAGACAATTGCCCAGCAGCTCATCTCCCAGGTGATTCTAGATCTCATCAAGCTGACAATTAAGATTAACCATCACAGACAAGCAATATAGAAAGATAGAAAACAAAGCACTCAAAATTCAGATCAAGAAAGAATGGCACACAGGTTTAAGGTTTATTGTTTTAGTCTACTTTCCTCTCATGCTGCTATCATTCAGAACACCTTGTTATAATCAAACTGAGGTCTTTTTGTTAAGCCTCAGTGTTACAGGAATCTTAAAACGGTAAAAGAAATTGTAGTATCACAGTAATCACAAAACAAAAATCTAAAGTAGACAAACAGAAAATAGTAAGGGATCAAAACTGGAGAAATCGCTGGGCGGTGGTGGCGCACGCCTTTAATCCCAGCACTC